TATATTCCATCACTGCTGATTCCATAATTCTAAGTTCCATGGTTGAAGTTAGTTATATGACCTGCTTGGACTTGGACAGCCAACATCTTACCACCAAGCAAATGTACACTCATGTCCCCTAGAGGACGCACCCAGCAAACCGTGGCTTCTCTAACCACACTCTGTTCAGCATTTCTAAAAAGCTATAACAACACCAACCACAGGATGACCATGAGCACAACTACTCTGAGCTGTTGTGGTCTGTTGATGAATAAATGCTACTGCCTACACCTGTCATTAATCTCTACTTCCCAGACTAGCTGTTCCAAACTCTAAGACTGGGAACATTTCCCTTTGGGCTCTCACACAGTGAACATGTGCAGTGTTTGCAGCCTAACAAAACACTGAGTCAACTGAAAAAAAACAACAGCTGTAAGTGATCTTACTGATATTCCTGAAGTCTGGTTTCTCCACAGATGGTGACACAGACAGGGTTTTATTGGTGGGACCCACTGCCCCAGCCACATAGCGTTTACAACCTGATGGCACACACACACACACACACATATTGCACACATTAATAAAACCCAGTGTGTCTGGAATTGAGCATGTATCTATCAGAGAAGCAACATGTGAGTGTACGGTTCAGCTAACCGGTTTGTTTGGTGACATCGTCAGCTGCCCTCCTTGCCAACTCTGCTGATGCCTTGTTGAGGGAATAAGCCTGTACAAAAGGTACACAAAAACAATGAGCTGATGACAAACAATACTACCTTTTTTTTTTTTTTTTAATTATTATTATTATAAACAGAAAAAGCAGACAGCAGAAAACAGAAAAACATGCCAAAACAGTACAAACATAGTAATATGACAAAAACAACCTGTTCAAGCTAATTATATCAAACATGCTTATTATGAGAGCATATTATGGATTATGGGTAACGTTACTTTTAATAAGCAATGACTGACAACATTACTTTGGCTTTATTTATCACAGAGCATTATGGGTTGTTAGCAACTCACAGACATCGTAGTTACTCATCACTGGCTCTCTGCTTTGGACTTGGCCCATATCTAGGATCTTCATTTGGCCACTAGTGAAGATACTTCTATTTTGTATTCATTTAGAATCTAAACCAAAATGTGTTACTAAAAATTATTACATCAGTTTAACAACTTGAACAAAAAATACATTTTCTGAAATTGTCTATGATTGTTGAGAAGAAGTGATTTAGATCCTGCTCAGGCTCAGAGAGCACGACTGGACAGCTTTCTTTTGAAAGGAATTCTGCTAATTGGAGTCTTGTGTTCTTTGTCTGTGATTAAGTTGATTTTCTATGTCACAGAGAACAAAGCTTGAAGTATTGATCTTCTGACACTGTGGTCAACAAAGTTTGTTGGACAAGCCTGTGATGAGTCAATCCAATTTGCTGTGTCATCAGAAGGCTGCTTCAGTAAAAGACATTAAAAAAAATAAATAAATACAACTCAGAGAGATCTGACCATTGTATCTAGTTAAATGATTTCCGCCACCAATCTGCTTCAGTTTAATTGATGAATGAAATATACACGTCAGAACTTCATGTGTTACTAAATGTTTCTAAATTATCAATTTATTTTTTTCCAGATTTATATATTTTTTAAAAAAAGGGAAAGAAAGCTTTCTTGATTTCTGCTCCCGACATTTCAGTTAAATCAAAGAATTTTGGTATCCTAGACTTTATTGTAAAACATTCCTTGTCTTGAATTCTTTGGTTTAGCTTCTTAACACTGACAATTGTTCTGTAACTTTCTGTTTATCTGCTATTTGACAGAATTAGTTTAAAAATACTTCAATAAATAAAAAAATGTCGAAACATATACAATTTGGTCAAAGTAGGCCAAGTATTTTAGAAATACCACAATGAAGGTATGATGCTGATTCATGACTTTTGTAGGTTCACCAAGTTAAATTATTGTTTAATGTCTGGTTACCAGCATAAAGTTCAAAGTAAAAAAAAAACAACAACAAGCTGCAATATTCCCGAATGATATAATCAATTAAATTAATATACCCCAGATAAGAAGCACAAAAATGTGTTCAAACTAACCTAAACACTTTCTGGTTTTGGCTACAAAATGCAACATGTTTTGTTTGTTTCTTTAGAGTTTTGGACAACTAATGAGACAAAAGCTAATGTAAATATGTTTCTAAGAAATGGTTCATCAGTGGTTAATGAGGTAACACTATCCACTCTGTGTACTGGACCTTGTGTCAACAACCACATAAATGCATGAGTTTTCTGCTGTGGTCAACCAGGGACGTCATACCATGTGTTCCAGTCCATAGTCCGCCTGGGCGATGGAGGTGCTGCTGAATGTGTTGGTCTCGATGATGTCAGCACCCGCCTGCAGGTACTCCTTCATACACACAGAAGAGCACGGCTTACAAGTGCACACAAATGCAGCTGGACGTCACAAACAGTAAAAAAACAGCCCATAAAACTTGGCTAAGGGTGGAAAAAGAATTTCCCATGCCTGGATGACATACCTTGTGGATTTTGTAAATGATGTCTGGCTGCGTGATGCTGAGAACGTCGTTGTTGCCCTTCAGTGGCAGCGGGTGGTCTTTAAACTTGCTTCCCCTGAAATCTTCTTCTTGGAGCTGCTGCTGCTGGATCATGGTTCCCATTGCACCGTCTAGAACCATGATCCTTTGCTGCAGCACTGCTCGAAGCTCCGACTCCAGAGGACAGCTGCCTCCTGGACAGAAAGCAGGATGGGTAAACTTGCAAACACAGTTACAGTTAATGCTACAACATATATTGTATCAAAATTGAAATTGCAATGCGTGCGTGCACAGTGATCACATTGCAGGAAGATCAATAGTACAACTTTTTTTGCTGCTTGATAGAAAATAAAAAAGAAAATTTGCAGAGTTCTCATTTTCTACAGTAATCTAGAAGTACAAGTCTTTCTGATAGAACCTAGTTCACTCCGATTTAGGGGTAC